ACATATCAATTATGTCCCTCGTGCCATGGCCTCTTCTGAATCCAGCTTAAATTTCTGGGAATTCTCTGTCATCTGTTCTTCTGGTTGTTGTTTAATAATTTTCAGCAAGATTTTACTTGCATATGATATTAATGATACTGTTCTGTACATTTATATTCTTTTTATCACCATTTTTTGTAATGGGCACAAATATGGATCTCTTCCAGGCAGCTGGCCAGGTGGCTATCTTCCAGATTTTTTTACATAGGGTAAGGTGCACATCCAAGGTTGCTTCTGTTTGTTAACTGTTATTCCATCAATTCTTGGGTTCTTATTTTTTTTGCTGATAGGTTCAGTGCAGCTTGAACTTCTTCCTTGATAATTCTCAAAAGAATATAGGAAAAGACAGTGACTTAAATTGTATGTATATATATTATATATATAATATATATATATTTTTATATATATATTAAAAAAACCATTATTATAGAGGAAAATTTGTCTGTAGTATTGGTTTTTAAAATATATATTTTGACAGTTTGAGGCACTGTCCCTTTCCTATGTTCTTTCCAGAATTATTAATTGTCCTAATTCGATAAATGCACTGAATTTTTGTTTTGAAAAGGAGACTATAAAGCCTCAACAGGAAGTACAGCAGGAAGACTGGCAGTTTCTGCTTTTGTGTTTTTGGTATCTCTCAGACAGAATGCTATTTCCTGCTTGCTGCAGAGCATTTAAACACTGCAATGCTCCATCGTTAAGTTGAGGCAAACCTGTAAACAATTTTTTTTACCTATAAACAATTTTCACACTGTATTTGTTTTTGCTACTGTGCTTTTTTCCTCTCTAGATTAGAGGTATTTTAGAGAAATTGTTAATCTGATTTGAAGTAGGGAGTTTTAGATGTGAGTGTTGAATTCCTACTACTTGGCTTTTTTAATGGTATTTTGTGCCAATTCCTAGATCATTGTGGTCTCTCTAAAAGTGTGTATACTCGCCAGCTTTTCAGAGGTGTCTCCAAAAGTTAGAACAGTGCTTACAAGGGCTTATATCAGTGTTAGATACAGTTATTTCTCTGATGCCTTCTTTGATTACAGACCAGCAGGGAGTGACAGTTGCTTAATCATAGCATGTTTTCACAGTTGTCTGAAGTGCTTTCTGATTTTTCATTGTAATTACTTGTCTAAAAGGGGTGGGGATTTTGTTGCTGTGTGCTGTGGAGTCCATGCAGATTCAAAGTAGCCCTGTGGGTCCGAGAGAACTTCATGTAGGGTTTCCAGGAGCAGAATTGGGTTCCTTTGTCATATTCTCCTGTAGTTCTTGCCTATTTCTTCTGCTTGAAGGGCTGTTCACTCCTGTCTCCTCAGCACACAGTCCACATATCTTGGCAGTTACTGTACATAGATAAGTCAAGCATTAGAAACAGCCAGCTACCACCTTACCACAGGCAGCCTCGATAAAACGTTTTTCTGAGGAAAACAAATTTTTTTGAACAAAACAAAAAATCCTTTTTTAAATATCGACTTTTTTTTTTCAAATATCGACATTTCTTAACTTCTGGTGTTAAAACTTGGCCTCAGTGTTTGCTAGAGTTCCTGTCTTGCAGCTTTGAAGCACTGTGCACCCACACTGTGTTCTGGGGAGTCCGTTTGTCTCATAACCTAAGTGCTTTGTAACTAGGGTAGTTGTCTGTACCAGCAGAATTCACACAGTTAAGACTGTCTTAAGCAAACAGAGCGGCCTCAGCCCTCCCTCCTTCCCTTTCTCAACCAGTCTCTAGCTTCCTCTTCCATCTCTCTAATGGCAGCACAAAGCCGCTGAGCTCGGCCCTGCAGCATGCGCCCCTCCTTCTGTGAGAACACATTTCCTGGCATGGGGGTTGAATCATGTCGATAAAATGGGGTCGCTTTCATGAAGTACCCCTCATAACAGTGAGATTCATAGGACCAAAACATGAGGAGGTAAGAGCTGACTTCTTTACAGCCCTGATTTCTCATAAATACAGAAAGAGATAATAAAGTTTATTATTGTTTTGTTTTTATCCTTGGAAAGACGAAATTGAATTGCCTTAAAGGATTAGGAAATCATTTCTTGTTTATACAGAATTGTAATACGTTGCATGAGTTGCATGAATAAACTACTTGCCATAGCAAGTTTTCTTTAACTCTCTGGGAAATGTTTCTGTGTTTTTGAGTAAAAGTACAGATGCTTCTCAGTTTAATGCTTTATTTAAGGAAGAGCCATCAGCAAAATAGAATTTTAAAAGATTATTACAAAAACTCTGCATTTTTGTTACTAGTTTTTATTAGAGTTTTATGTACTTTAGGGGTTACTGATTTTCACTCAGGATAGTTTCCTGTTTTATAAAGTGAAGTAAATTGCTTTTCTGACATCCTTTCTTGTTATGCCTGGGAGTTTCAAACTGTAGCAGCTCAGCCTTTATACTCCTGTTACACACATTCTTTTAACAAGATTTAGCATGAGTCCTAGACTTAGCAAACAAAATTTCATCATTTCAGTATAGAGGGAAAGGTTTGAAACAGGAAGTCAAAAGATCTGGGTTCTAATTTTGATTCTGCCAGTCACTTGCTTTCTGTGACCTCCTTCATGTTGCTGGACCTTTCGCATCCTGAGTGGTGTGTTACAGTAAATTCATTGAGTGAGTGTTGACCTCTAGAGTCTACTCCTGGCTTTTAATCCCAGCTTGGGTAATACTTATGTGTGGCCATGAATCCATGATTTAACCTTTCTAAAGCCCAGTCTGCTCAGATGAAAGGGAAAATATCCAGGGGCTGTTGTGAGGAAATACATTGCTTACCGTAGTGCTCAGTGCACGATTAACTGTAAAAATATTACATGTTGTAATCTTCATCCTCTTAGTTGTAAAATGGGAAGTAGAATGCCAGTATGCCCACTTCATTGTTTTTCAGCCCGATGGAATAATGCATGTAGAAGTCATTGATTCAGGGTGTAAGGCTTTGTATTTGTCTTTATTATTACCTTATTATTAATTGCTTGTGCATTACCTGGGGGGCTCCCATTTCCAGGATTGTCTTCAAGGACAGTAGTGGTGTGTGGTCATAGGTAAACTCCTCCCTTCTTCCTGGAAAGTGTGGCTATACGCTGATCCTTGCCTCTTAAAACTAAGAAACCTGTAAAGTCCCAGGGCCGCTTTAGATAATTATTAATCTGGCAGTCACTGCCTCTTCAAGTTTTTGAAAATTCTTCTTCATGATTTTATGTGTAAGCTCAAATAATAGCACGCCTTAGGGTAAAGTATGATGTCACGTTTATATATATTTTTTACTGTTTTCCCTCTACCCCTAAAGCATTTCCAGAATTCCCATCTTACTGTCAATGTCAAGTCTTGTAGCCAAGAATCCTCTCGACTCAGAACACCGGCTCCCAGGCCATTTCCCCACCTTCCCTTCCCACTCAGTGGCCTCTCCTGTGCCAGTGTGCCCTGAGCTGCTGGCCTCACCTGCTTCCATTGAGCTCCAGGGAGCACCTGGCTCAATGGCAGGGTGCATAGTAAACATGAGAGGAGTTTCAGTGCGTCTAATTCTGATGAGTGGAAGGGACACATGGGAGAGAAGGAAGTTTTTCAAGGGTGATCAGACAAACTAGAGTTGGATTCATGCAATCTACCGTCAGCTGAGGTGTGATCAGAATAGGCCTTAGCACTTGTCTTTGCCTGAGCCTCACTTTCCTAACAGAAGTAATCTCTCCACTGACTAGTTTGAGGGGGTAAGGGAGGTGTGCTTAGGGAAATTAACAACAAGGCTTCTTACTCCCACCCTCTGACCCGTCCTCTTGCTCTGTACCGTTGTCTTTTTTTGCTTTTCCTCAATTTCTTTTCTTACCATCCCATCTTCTCATCAAAATTTCTTTTTTTCCCATTGTAAACATTGCATTTCTATGTTGAATTAGGAGAGTTTGGAGAAAATAGAACTTACCTTCAGTACATGACAGTCATTTTTGGAACTATGGGCAGGTGTTATTCTGTGAGTGAGGCACAGTGTTTAAAATACAGCATCTCGTTTCATTCTTCCAAACATCATACGCGATGAGTGGCGGTGCTCTCATCCTCTCTCCACAGGTGAGCAAGCTGAAGTGCAGAGAACTCTGTTCACTCCTGCGGGGTCAGTCACTAGTGAGCAGGAGCAGGGCCCAGATTTGGACCCACTTTTGACACCACTGTCCATACTCATAGCCACGGGTATAATTTCTCAGCTTGTTACCCTCATTCTGAAAACTGGACCAAAATGAATATACAGAATCTTTATGTTCTAATAATACCTGGAAATACATATGCAGAGGACATTTAATACTTGTGGCTAAAGTAAGGAAGATTTAAGATTTTCATCAGAGATTCTTCCTGTTCACGGACAAGTGATGGGTGTGAGAAAGTCAGAGGGGACTTGAACCTCCTAGCAATTTTTTACTCAGTTGTTCTCCTCAGGCTGATGTCAAAATGGCTACCATCCTTTCCTCTGCTCCCTGCTTGGAGCCAGCCCTAAACTTGTCGCTTGCTTTGTGGACTATGCTATGACTTAATTGACGACGCACCATGGCCACCCCAGGCTCTTCTCCATTGCCAGAAACTTCTTCCTACTGTTAGTCTATCACTAGAAGGAGCCACTTGCATATGCCATTGTTTAACCTGCCCAGTCTTCATTGGATTTTCCTGATGTAGCTTACACACTCACTCAGCACTGCCAACTTAATTACACATAGAGATCCTCCCTTGGGTTTCCGAGCTGCAGATCTTTACAGGAGGAGAGGTTCTCATCTTACTCTCATGCAGCAACTGGTAGATCCAAACCATCCACCTCTCCATTAGTAACCTCCCACTTACACTAAACCCCCTGGGTTCCTAGCTTGCACATTCATTAACACACAATGTTGTTATTGTTGTTGTTGTACCAAAACTTTGATCAACCACTCCTGGCCACAGAGGCCCATGTGTGAGGGGAAGGCCTCTGGTGTCCAATTAACTCTTGAATCTTTTCTGTCAGCAGGAAAAGGAAAAAGAGAAAGATAAATTCAAGGAAAAGGAGAAAGATTCTAAAGAGAAGGAAAAGGACAGGAAGTCGCTCAATGGCCACACCTTCAGTGCCATCCCCGTCGTGGGTCCCGTCGTGTGCAGCCAGTGCATGAAGCCTTTCACCAACAAAGATGCCTTCACGTGTGCAAGTAAGAGGCTGCCTCCCCTGGGGCTGCTCGCTTGTCTCAGGAAAACTCATTTCTTGTTTCGTGTCTGTTCCACCCCTTATCAGTTCCTCATTTATATAGAGAAGTAGTATTTTTCACATTTTCCTTCAAATGATACCAAAGAATTACATTCTAGATATTCATGTCACAGTTTTTCTCCCGGCCAACTCTAATTTCAGATATTTTGTTCCTTCATTTCTAAATCACTATCTGTCCCAGAATTCAGTGTCATCATCAAAACTACATTGTAGCCCCTAAAGTTACCCAGCACTATTTTGTCAGATGTATGCTCATTCTCCAGTCTAGTTCTTTGATCTGTTCATCACTTGTTTGCCGCCCTGCCCCTAACTCATGGTAACTGGGGGCGGGGAGCATACCTCTCTGTGTGCAAAAATGTTCCATGTGGACTTTGTACTGGCCAGCCTAAAACCACTTTGAACCCAAATCTGCTGAGCATGATTCTTGGTTTTGGTAAGGTACTCTTAAGACAGAAGTCTGACTTTGTCAATTTCGGGCCAGATAGCAGAGGTACTTTCAGCTTTGAGGACACGGTAGTGCTCTGGGTAATACTCAATGATCACGTGTTCTGGTAATCTGATAATGAATACCCAGAATCTCATGTCACAAGATACTGATTTTTTTATTTTTTTCAATCACTTAAAAGGAAAAATAAATTCACAGGCAATAAATAATAATTTATGTGAATAGTAAATCACAAGCCATAAAACAGTAGATTGAAGGCCAGCCCCGTCTCTCAGCAGTTTCCATTTTGGTCACAGCACCCATAGTATGTCCTGTTGTTCACATTATTATGCCAGTGTCTGTCCTCAGCAGTGGCCTCAGTTGTGTCAGAGATTTTGAGGATGGCACGGGATAGGAAAGGTCGATCTGTTGTTCACAGAGTTGCTCTCAGTCACATTTGACTCAGCGGCACCTCACACCACCAAAGTGCTGGTGTAAATCAGAGAGACTGCTTGTGGGTGGAAGTGAACAGTGTGTAGATGCAGCCACCCCAGAAGGCCGAGGTGGCACCATGTTAAGCCTGTTACCTATTTAGACAAAATAGTAACTAATTCAAACTCCAGGAAGCCCTCCTCCAGACCATGATATCATGACATTGTCTTATTTCCTGTCATTTATGTTGAGGATACTAAGTGATTAGCGGGGTGGATGGGTGGGGGGGAAGAGTTAGCTTACTGAAATTTAAATTTTTTTAAAGTTTGGTGGCAACTTCAAAGTTAATTCTGTAATAATTTCTATTCATTTGTTTCTTGAGTTAAAAAGGACAAAAGTCAAAGCTGGCACATAATTCGCAGCACAGCTCATCTGCCACAGCTGTTGTGCCTTTGTGCCTTTTTAAATGTCACTCCACATTCCTGTTATATTATTTTCATGGATGCATTTCATTATACCCAGAAACGAGTCTGCAGCATTATTTGTTCTTCTGTACTTTTTAAAAAAAAAAAAAGTCATCCAAATCTTTGAATAGCACTGTGGCAGATACACTTACTAATGTCATCTTTCATGTATAATTTACCAAGCCTGAGAACCCCTGCCTCCCAGGAATAGTCTGGCATCGGTGGCCAGTGTCCCTCCAGTGTTTGATTTGGGGGGCAAGTGTTCCCATTATGTTCATTCTGTGGCCACCAGCTGAATGTGTGCAGTGTGCACGGTCAACATCACAGGACTAGAATACCTTCATTCTCCAGGGTGTTGGTCATCGAGCACTGTTTTTCCAGTTGTTCTTCCACCATTAGAACGTGATGTTTTGGTGGGTTTTTTCCTTTCTTTTTTGTTTTTTTGTTTTGTTTTTAAATTTCCTACTAGTTTATTTACAAAATTCAAATACATTGTTTTCAAGAACAAATTCTTTCAATTTCCCTCACCCGCCCACCCATCAAATTATACAACCCAATGAGTAATTCCTCCCTCCACCTGCATATCCTCATCCCCCTGCTTCCAACCTCTCCCACCCCTCTTGGATCCTTAAACTCATTCGATAATAATGGTTTTATACAATATTTATCTTTGTGGGACTTAGTTCACTCAGCATAATGCTCTCCAGTCCCTCCCAAGTTAGTTAATAATTTACAAAGTCATTGCTCCTGTGTGTTGCATTGTATTCCATTGTGTGAATGAACCATAATTTCTCAATCCATTCATTTGTGGTTGGACATTCCTCCTTGGTCATTAGAACTTCTTAAGCATACTACCATAGTACATACATATTTAATGCAAAAATTCATCTTTAGCCACTCAAAAGAGCTCATTCTAGAAATACAAGAAATTTCTTTATCTTGTCCAAAAGAGCTTATCTTTATCTTTTCAAAAAGAACTCCTTCTGGAAATACGAGAAATTTCCTATTTGTCATATTCTTGTTTGTTGATTGGTTATTCATATTTCTTTTCAGGAACTTGTACAAGTCTTCATTCTTCCCCGCCCCCATGCATTTATAACTAGACAGTGTAGTCTGTAAGCTTGTTTTAGTTCTACACCTTAGCTTGTTGAACTGTGCATTAGTCACAGGGGGTGGAAGGGACCCCCATTCCACATCTCACCCTCAGCGAGGAGTAACTTTCTCTCAAGGAACTTCCGGTATCACGTATCAGCTGAGGCTGCCCAACATAAAGGCTGAGGTACCATTATATCAGTCTGTATAGGAATTCCATTTCTCTTTTAAGTTAGAAGTCAGTACAAATATCACTTGTGATTTTTTTCCTTCTGTTCCGTGATGGCCATTTTTGTTCTCTTCCCTCCAGAGTGCCTGTACTCCATCTAGGGAGTGCTGGTCTCATAAAAGAGCCGAGAGGAGCCACGTTTCTTGATTGATGTGTAAAATTGTTCAAGGAACTCCAGTAGTAAAGTGAGCTGGATTGTCACTTCCTTTAAAACCTAAAAATGCTAGATAAAATAATTTTTAAAAAAAAATTACTGTCCAGCTGAGTCCTAAAAAATAAAAATCCATAAGACTTTTTTTTTGGGGGGGGGGGTCTTTTTTGGCTAGTTTATTTACAAAATTTGAGTGCATTGTTTTCAAGAAAAAATTCTTTCCATTTCCCTCACTCCCCCACCCATCAAATTGTACATCCTCATCCATCTGCTTCCAACCTCTCTCACTCCTCTTGGATCCTTATACTCATTCTACAATAATGGTTTTATACAGTATTTATCCTTGTGGGACTGAGTTAGTTCACTCAGCATAATGCCCTCCAGTCCTCCCAAGTTAGGTAATAATTTACAAATATCATTGCTTCTGTGTGCTGCATAGTACTTCATTGTGTGAATGTGCCATAATTTCTCAATCCATTCATTTGTGGTTGGACTTTAGAGCTGTTTCCATGTTCTTGCGATGGTGAATAATGCTTCTGTGAACATTGGTGTACTAATTTCAGTTTGTGCCTCAGTTCTCATTTTCTCAGGATATATTCCAAGTAGTGGAATATCTGGGTCATACGGAATTTCTGTGGTCAGCTCTTTGAGGAAATGCCAAACTGCCTTCCAGAATGGTTGTACCATTTTACAACCTCACCAACAATGTATAGCAGTTCCTTTTCTTGCCACATCCGCTCCAACATTTATTACTTGCTGCTCTGTTAAACTTTGCCATGTAAGACTGTTTTAAGGTCAGAATAATTAAAATTCAGCATTCCTCTCATTTGAAGACAAGATATGTGACCTCAGGGCCTACTGAGATGCATACATAAAGACAACAGCTTTAACAGCCACAGTTCAAAAGGCCTTGAAAAATCCCATCCACTGACATTCTGAAGCATCATAAAAATGTTATTCTCTGTCTAGAGAGGGAACCCAGGGTCATGTGCTGGATTTATATCATCAGTGTATGCTGGAACTCCAAGTTAAAAATTGTTCCCAAGAAGTTTAGTGAAATCAGAATGTAGGAATGATGACATGCTGAAGGATGCCAGGCCAAAGAAGATACAGCAATGCCCCATATGGTCACTGTGATAGAGCAGGAGGCCCAGAGGCTCCCACAGGAAGAGAATGGGGAAGTCCTGTGCAGCTGGACTTGAGCTTACTGTGAAAAATACAGTAGAACACAGTTAGAAAAAGCCACTATGAGGAAGAGTTAGTAGACATACTACACACAGAAGGTACTGTAAGGATTAACGTATTGAATGGAATAGAAGAATAAGACATATTGGGTTAAATGGAATAGAAGAATAGGACATAATTAGAGTTAAATGGAGTATAAGAATAGGACCTAGCGGGGAGCTCTGGTGGCCTAGTGGCAAGGAACTGCAACTACAATCCCAGAGGCGCACAGTTCAAATCCACCAGATGCTCTGCCGGGGAAGGAGGGACAATCTCCTCCTGTACCAGTCAGATCTGATTTGACGGTACACTCACACAAAAATAATAAAATAAAA